GCGCCGGCGCGGGCGCCTGCGCCGGCGCGCGCGGCGCGGGGGAGGGCGCGGGCGCGGCCGCGGGCGCCGCCTTGGGCTTGCCGCTGCACTGGATGCGCATGCCGCCCATCATCTGCCGCACGGTGTGCTGCCAGATGTTGCGCAGCTTCAGCTGGCAGAGCGGCTTGGCCAGGAAGTCGACGGCGCCGAGGCTGATGCCGTGCATGACGTCATCAGGGCTGGGGTCGGCGGCCATGAGAATGCACGGCACGCCCCTGCACGACTCCAGCAGGCCGCTGCGCACGCCCCCGGCCACGGCCGCGGCTGCGCAGCCAATTGCGCCCTTGTCGGCGAGCAGGACGTCAAAGGAAGAGGGGGATGAGCTGAGGTGGACGACGGCCTCGGCGCAGGAGGTGCACGCGGTCACCTGGTGGGTGGGGAGGAGGCGGGTGTGCGTGTGGGGGGGTGGGGGGTGGACGGCCACAGGTGGGTGTGCGGTTTTGTGCTGGCAGGTGCTCACCCAGAGAAGCGATCGCCTCTAGAGCAGAGCGTGCGGGTGCCACCACCGAGTCCACAAAGGTAAGAAGTTGTGGGGCCCCAGGCCGGGGGTGCCCCATGGCCGTGGGTCCCCCCCCCCCATGGCAGCGGCTGCCCAGGTTGGCACGCTCCCATTGCTGCACCTCGCCGTCCCGTGCACGCACCTCGTAGCTGCACTGCCGCAGCTGCTCCTCCGTGCGGGAGCGCGCGTCAGCATCGCTATCGACGAGCAGCACGCGGAGGCCGCAGGGGAAGCCGGGGCGCTGGGAGAAGCTCGGCATGCGCTTGGGGGCCCCCATGTTGCTGGACGGCGGGCGGGAACACTGGCCTGGCAGTGGGCAGGCTGTCCACGAGGCAGCCTCCTCGTAATGGTGCTTCGTGGGACTCCGCCTTGCCTGCAAGCGGCCGACCCAGGGAGGGTTGGCAAGAAAGTTGGCTCCCGAAGGGTGGCTCCTCCGGGACCGCCATGGGGGCCGCCCTAGGATCGCCCTCAGCGGTTGCCCATCGTAGTCTATGCACCCGTACGAGACTGCGCCGGCACCCGGCACGCCCTCCAGAGCGCTGTGCCCAGGGGAGTGCCGCACTGCCACCCTCCCATAGCGGGCTCCGGTGGGCTCAAGCACACGGCAGGAGCAGCTCTGTACGTGATGCATCTCTAGCTGGGGTGAGACGGCCACTCTTGCTCGCTGCAGCACGGCGGGGGTGGCCTGATGCACCCACCCAGGTCGCTTGCTGCTCGCACGGCCCTACCCACGACGCACCCGCCCAGGCCCAACCAAAGGACTCACCACAGTCAAAATGCGCCCTTGAGCCGTCTCGGGACGCCTCTTCCGCCCTGAAAAGCCCCTGAGCAGCAACGGGCACTTGGGGTGAGCCTGAAGCTCTGAGCAAGCTCCGGTGTGGTCGGGAGCTCGCTCAAACATCCTACGCTTAAAGGTCAAGAGGTGCCAGCCGGTCCTCCCTTGACGGGAGAGCCGCAACCCGCCAGCTTCGCCGAACGCCTGGGATTTTTTGGATGAGAATCAGGCCCACCGAGTCCCCTGGTGGGGTGCACAAATACTGGGGCATGCTCTGATATTATTATTGTGGCAATTACAGCGCAACTTGCCCTGCCACGCCAGGTGCTGACCCGCTGACCCCATCAACCTGAACCAGGTGCGAGCCTCCACCCCTCCGCACCCCTGCCAGCCCCAGCCAGCCCGCCCTCACCAGCTGCACCTTGCGACTTTGCCCCTGCACCCAACCCCCTTGGTCAACATTTCCTTCCAACTCCCCATGCCATGCCAAAGGCTTACAACGCCGGACGCGCGGCGCCAGGAGGTCCCGGTGCGACGCCGCCACCATCCCCATCCTCCGATCGCCGCTCGTCGAGTCGCCCATCTTGCCGCCGCCGCCCCTCGCCGTCCCCCGCGCGCTGCTGGACGCCCGCAGCCTCCTCGTCATCAACACCCCACATGAGCGTATCCACGCGCTGCCGCCCCCACAGGCCCGCCTGCAGGCTCTCCGCCCGCCACCTGGACGCCAAGAGCGATTGGTCCGACACAACCTCAAACCAGTTGGCCAGGCGATCAGCGCGACGCCCAAACATGTGCGCTGCATCGACACTCATGCGCATCCCGCCAATAGCGAACCCCTGTCCACAGGCAGAGGCTGCAGCAACGCCCCGAAGTCCCTCACGCGCTCGCGCCCCTGGATCGCGCCCCAGCCCCCCGCACCCCAGCCCACACTCACCCGCTGTACCGCCCCTCGGCCCAGGCGACGCATCGGGCCAGCATGGTCTCGTACAGCGGCACCCCCCGCTGGAAGTGGCTCGACGCATACTCCTCCAGGGGCATCCAGCGCGCCGCCTCGACCTCCACCTCCTGGGAGACCGCAAATCATAGGGCGGCCGAGGGCGCGGTGGTTTGAGGTATGGCGCGGTGGGACTGGGTGCGGCGCGCTGGCGGGTGGTCGAGGCAGCTGCCCGGCCCGAAGAGGGCTACATTGAGGGCGCTTTGGGGGTGCCGGATGCGAATCGAAGCGGAGGGTTGCCCAGGCGCGCGACTGTCGGAAACCCCTCGCGCCAACAAGCAAGCTACCCCCGGCCCCCGCCGCCCGGCGCCCGGGCTGAACCCGAGCCGCCGCCGTCGCGCCCGGCTGGGACTCACGCACGGCCGCGGCTGCTGCCCGGGCTCGTTCGCCCTCAGTCCGACGCAGACGAACAGGTCGCTCTTGCCAAACCCGAAGCCGTGGGCCTGGCGGATGCAGAGCACGGCCTCCACGCGTGCTGCGATGCCGGCCTCCTCCAACACCTCCCTCTCCGCTGCCAAGACAATGTCCTCCCCTGGTGTATGACGCATGGGGGAGCGGCGGGTGGGGGTGGTGTGGGGTCACTTGGTTCGGGGACGTTGGATGCGGGCGCAGCTGCGTGCCGTTGTGGCTCTTTTGGGGCATTGAGGCGTCCGGCCGCGGCACCCGTGCCCGGCGCCGGCCGCATGAATTTAGGGCAGGGGTTGATGATGTGGCTGCGCACCTTGGTGGACCAACCCGGTCGGCATCTTCCAGACCTGCAAGATGACGTGTGGCACAGCGCGACGGCGATTTCGAACCGGTATTTGACCACACCTGCAAGTCCACCGAGTGCCCCTCTGAGCTGCCCACAGCCGGTTGCTGGCAATGAGGACTGACCCACTGCGACCCTGCCAGGCGCCTCGTACGCACACCCTGAGCACGCCGGGCCCGAGCAGCTAGCGCAAGCCAGCCGGCCGGGCACCCGCGCTGCGCCCTCGTTTTCGACCACCACGCGCACCTGCTTGCCCTTCAGCGGCCCGTTCGCCTCCTGCACCACGAGCACCTCGCCCCTCTCGTTCACCACGAACGCCCCCACGCCGACCTGGTGCGACGCGTTGGGCGGCAGCGTGCTGGGGGCGTCGGGCAGCCAGCGCGTCATCATCACGTAATCGGCCTCGGCGTGGTGGAATTGAAAGCCGCCTGTGGAGGGCGCGGCGGCGGGGCCGACCAGGTGCGCCTTGGAGAGCGGGACCTTGAGCCACAGGCCGCGCTTGCCCTGCGAGCTCCACGCCTGTGCGGCGGGGACGACAGAGGTTGTCGGCCCGCGGGGTCACGGGGCGAGAGTGCTGCTTGGGCGAGGGACCCTTGCACAACGTGCGGCGCTTAGTCCTCGGAGATGGGGGCGGCTGCGAAGAAGCAGCAGTGCTATGACGAATGCAAGGGCGCGAGCGCGGCCGCACGGGTGCCTGCCGCTCTGGACAGCAGCAGGCGTAGCCTCGCCGCGCACCTGCACGCTCTGCTGCAGGGCGGCCGCAAACTCGTCCGCGTCGTGCGGCAGCGCGTCCGCGTCAATTATGACGCCGCCTGCGGGCCGGCGGGGCGGGGCGCGGCGACACGGTCATGACAAAAGCCCAAGTGCACAGGGGCCAGGGCCCTCGCAGCGTTGCAATCCAATTCTGGGTGGCGAGCGCTGAAAAATCCGGCGAGTAGGGCGGGCGGATTTCTGCTGCCCCATGCGCTTTCCATGTTTTCAAGCTGCTGGCTCTGGTCCGATTGCAACTGCCTGACGGCTGCTCTCCCAACGTTTCCAGCCGTCGGGGCTCGTACCGTATGCATCCTCCTTGGCCACCAGCACAGCCGCCTGTGCATCAAGCGTCGCCTGCCGCTGCGACGCCATTGAGGCTGCTGATCGGCAGGGGCCGTGCTGCAGCAACAACAGAGCCCTGAAGTTTGTGTTCCTGTACCTACCAGCCCTTAATGTACGGGCGAGGCAATTCAGCATGGACGAGAGGCAGAGTGCGGTGCGCAATAATGAAATGCCGGGCGCACAGCGGTTTAGTACGCGAAAAGCATGGTTGCCTCAATCTTATTAGTGGTGGTCATCTGTATGCACAAAACGCTCGCGCTACAAGATCAATTTTGTCACTTGGGTGTGTCTTGTTGTGCCAAGCAGCACCCTTCATGACTTGTAGTGATCGCGTCACTTACTTGCTGTTGTAGATCGTCAGTCCCCTCACTCACACCTTGTCGTAGGGCAGGATGCGGTCGAGCGCAGGGTTGAACGCCAATCTCGGCCAATGCCGATCAGCGCTGAGACTCGCACGGTGAGCTGCTGAGAGAAACGAGGCGCCGATTTCACAGATAGCCTTCACACCTGACCCGTGCTGCCCTTTTGACACGCCACGCAGGGGCGCCCCCTGCACGCCGCGCTGGCGCCCCTCACTCCCAACGCCCCGGGCGACCCCAGCGGCGACCCCGCCCAGCGGCATCAACCTCACCGACAGCATGCCGTCTCTTGGCACGACTTACACGGCCGCCAATGACGTGCGGTCGCGGCCGGTGGGGATCCCCCGGCAGGCCTCTGACCCGCTGCAGGTTTTGCTTCAGGGCCAGGCGCAGGCGACCGCGGTGGCGTCCACGCTGCGCAAGACAAAGCTGGTGCGCCGGCGCCGCGGCGCTGCGGGGCGGGGCGCCGCACACGGCTCGGCATGCTTGCTGTGCAGCTGCGTACTGACCAGATCGTCGGCTGGGGCGGGCCGCTGGCTGCGCGTGCGCAGGGGCAACTGCCCAGGTTCGATCAGCTTCATGAGCCGACAGCCCCTGGGGTACTGCGACCATGCTCCCTCACCCATCCCAAACAGGTGTGCACGATTGGACCCCCAACCGCCACCAAAGAGGGCTTCGAGAAGCTGGCGGAAGCTGGTGAGTGCGCAGGGCGCGCCGTCCGGCTTTCCCTCCTGTTCCACACGGCGCCGCGCGGGCCCCGCCCCCGAC